GCGGGAGGCGATGCGGCGGCGCCGCTACCTGCGGGACGGCGCCGAGGGGGCAAGCGGCGGACGGCCGAGCTCGGGGGACTGGCTGTATGAGTCGTACTACTGCATGAGCCAGCAGCACCCGCTCATCGTCTTCCTGCTGCTCATCGTCACGGGCGCCTGCCTCGCCCTGCTTGCCGTCTTCTTCGCGCTGGGGCTGGTGAGTGTCCGGCCGCGGCCTCAGGACCAACTTTCCCCGGGAGCCTCCGCCCGGGACAAAGTTGCCGGTGTCCCCCGGGTGCGTAGCCGTGATCGGGGACCCCTCGCCGGCCCGCTCCTGGGGCGCGCAGTGCGCCCGGAGGGTCCCCAAGCCAACCCTCCTGGCGCCGCGTGCCTCCTGGGCTGGCCCGGCATCCGTCATTTAACTCCGCCGCTAGCGTGCCCCGGCCAGGACGCCGAAATACTCCACCAGTGCACCTCGCTGCCTGTAAATACCTACAGAGTTAGCCCCTTAAGACAAAGTGATGGGAAGAGCCTGTCTCTAGGGAAGCCGCTTTGGGGAGGTTGGCTGCCTGTTTCTGGAAAGGAGGTGGGTCCGGAGGATTCAAGTGGATTGTATCCCCAGCAGGAACCTAATGCAAGTCAATAGTGGATGGCGGTTGTGCCCACTTCTGTTATCCATGTAGGAATTCTTGGCTCAAGCGCCCGGCCAGCCAGGGGACCTGTAGGTGGCAGTCAACTTCCTGTGATGGCCTCAGGGTGTATTGGGGGGGGGGGGTTTCAAACTTTTGGATGGTCTGTGATATGCAGGAGCAGATGGGGGCTGTCCACCTTCACCCAGATGATGAGGGCCCTTGTTGATTTGGGGGTGCCTCCCCTGTGGGGTATCTTTTTCTGCGAAATTAGAAAAAAAAAATATGTCCCTGAATGCATTTGTGTGCTTGGGCCATGAAGAAGGTGTTGGCTGAGCTTCCAAGTGCCCGGACATTTGGTCATTTGCTTCTGCATTCCTGCTCCAGATGGTGTTCAGATATTATACATGGAAACTCATGTTACACCCAAGCGAGTCTTTTTTGTTTTTTAAATGAAGTTTACTTTTCCCTTCTCTAACCCCTATGACTGTTGAAGTCACCAGCTGCTCCTTGGAAACCCTATACAGGGTCGCTGTGGGTCGGAACCGACTCAATGGCACTTAACAACAACAACAACAACCCCTATGACTGTATTCTGAGCGCGGAGTTCTGGTGACACGGTGGCTGAAGCGCTGGGCTGCTAAGGGAAAGGTGGGTGGGTCACCCCTCCTGTGCCCTGCAGGAGATCCCATCTGTAAAGATTTATGATCTTAGAAACCCTATGGGGTAGTTCTACTCAGCCTTGTAGGATCTCCATGCCTCTGAATGACAAGACGGTTTGGTTGTTACTGTTTTAGGATGGCCTCAGCCAGGGACAGGAAGAACAGAAAATAGAATGCTGGGGCTGATCTCAGAGATCATACACCAGGGCAGGGGCACTCTGACAGCTGGACATGCCTGCACCCCTCTGTCTCTCTGTGACTTTACCTCTGAGAAGGATTTGGAAAGGGACACAGGTCTGTGTCCCTGGCAAGCAGTGTGTCTAAGCTGTCTCGTCCTCATTCCGCTGGTACTGAGAGAAAAGCAGTCAGATTTTCCTCTGGTCATTCCTTTCTCAGTGTCCTCAGTCTATAAACCTGTAATCCCAACCCCAGCTGACTTGGTCTCCTCTCATGGAAGGGGCAGCAGGTGACGGCCTATTAATAGCTACATTAATATATTTATTTAAAGACACACCTCCTCCCACAGCTGCTTGATTTTCTTGGAGACAGACTGATTTGTGAAACCTGGTCGGCTAGAGTCCCTGTAAGAGGTCAACCACGCAGTGAAATCCAGTGAAGTTGGCCTTCCCCTCCCCGCTGCATTTATGCTCCGTGTTACTTGCCCCAAGTAACAGCATGTTAGAGCGGTAACCCTTTAAAAAAATAAAAAAATCATCCCCACATCTTTGCTTTTTCTCCATGCCCCCATGTTCCTTGCGTTCAGTTAAATCTGTTTTCAGCGCTGAGCTGTCTGTTGGCCAGGGAATAAGAGATGAATCTTGTCCTTTGCCAATCCTTGGGCTGCCTTTATAGCCAGTGACCCTGACTGGTCCAGGGAAATGGCGACTAACCTTACAGGGACAATTCTGGACTCTTGTTGTTGTTGTTAAGTGCCGTCGAGTCGGTTCCGACCCATAGCGACCCTGTACAGGGTTTCCGAGGGTGTAAATCTTTACGGGAGTAGAAAGCCTCAT